GAATTACAGACTGCTGAGTGTCGCCATTGATGGTACAATGGACGGCGCGTATGCCCGAATTTGTGGGAAACGCCCCCTTTTTGGCCGATTTTGGCGTCTGAGGCAACCTTTGGAGAGCGATAACTAAATAAATTCCAGGCCGCTTCAAGAGCACTCGGGCATACGCGTCATAGACCTAGAGGAGATTCCTTATAATGAATTACAGACTGCTGAGTGTCGCCATTGATGGTACAATGGACGGCGCGTATGCCCGAATTTGTGGGAAACGCCCCTTTTTTGGCCGATTTTGGCGTCTGAGGCAACCTTTGGAGAGCGATAACTAAATAAATCCTTCGCCGCTTCAAAAGCACTCGGGCATACGCGTCATAGACCTAGAGTAGATTCCTTATAATGAAGTACAGACTGCTGAGTGTCGCCATTGATGGTACAATTGACGGCGCGTATGCCCGAATTTGTGGGAAACGCCCCCTTTTTGGCCGATTTTTGCGTCTGAGGCAACCTTTGGAGAGCGATAACTAAATAAATTCTTGGCCGCTTCAAAAGCACTCGGGCATACGCGTCATAGACCTAGAGGAGATTCCTTATAATGAATTACAGACTGCTGAGCGTCGCCATTGATGGTACAATTGACGGCGCGTATGCCCGAATTTGTGGGAAACGCCCCCTTTTTGGCCGATTTTGGCGTCTGAGGCAACTTTTGGAGAGTGATAACTAAATAAATTGTTGGCCGCTTCAAAAGCACTCGGGCATACGCGTCATAGACCTAGAGGAGATTCCTTATAATGAATTACACATACGCGTCATAGACCTAGAGGAGATTCCTTATAATGAATTACAGACTGCTGAGTGTCGCCAGTGATGGTACAATTGACGGCGCGTATGCCCGAATTTGTGGGAAACGCCCCCTTTTTGGCCGATTTTGGCGTCTGAGGCAACCTTTAGACAGCGATAACTAAATAAATTCTTGGCCGCTTCAAAAGCACTCGGGCATACGCGTCATAGACCTAGAGGAGATTCCTTATAATGAATTACACATACGCGTCATAGACCTAGAGGAGATTCCTTATAATGAATTACAGACTGCTGAGTGTCGCCATTGACGGTACAATTGACGGCGCGTATGCCCGAATTTGCGGGAAACGCCCCCTTTTTGGCCGATTTTGGCGTCTGAGGCAACCTTTGGAGAGCGATAACTAAATAAATTCTTGGCCGCTTCAAAAGCACTCGGGCATACGCGTCATAGACCCAGAGGAGATTCCTTATAATGAATTACAGACTGCTGAGTGTCGCCATTGATGGTACAATTGACGGCGCGTATGCCCGAATTTGTGGGAAACGCCCCCTTTTTGGCCAATTTTGGCGTCTGAGGCAACATTTGGAGAGCGATAACTAAATAAATTCTTGGCCGCTTCAAAAGCACTCGGGCATACGCGTCATAGACCTAGAGGAGATTCCTTATAATGAATTACAAACTGCTGAGCGTCGCCATTGATGGTACAATTGACGGCGCGTATGCCCGAATTTGTGGGAAACGCCCCCTTTTTGGCCGATTTTGGCGTCTGAGGCAACTTTTGGAGAGTGATAACTAAATAACTTGTTGGCCGCTTCAAGAGCACTCGGGCATACGCGTCATAGACCTAGAGGAGATTCCTTATTATGAATTACAGACTGCTGAGTGTCGCCATTGATGGTACAATTGACGGCGCGTATGCCCGAATTTGTGGGAAACGCCCCCTTTTGGGCCGATTTTGGCGTCTGAGGCAACCTTTGGAGAGCGATAACTAAATAAATTCCAGGCCGCTTCAAAAGCACTCGGGCATACGCGTCATAGACGTAGAGGAGATTCCTTATAATGAATTACAGACTGATGAGTGTCGCCATTGATGGTACAATGGACGGCGCGTATGCCCAAATTTGTGGGAAACGCCCCTTTTTTGGCCGATTTTGACGGTTGAGGCAAGCTTTGGAGAGTGATAACTAAATAAATTCTGGGCCGCTTCAAAAGCTCTCGGGCATATGCGTCGCAGAACTGGAGGAGATGCATTATTATGGCTTATAGAGTACTGAGTGTCGCCATTGATGGTACAGTTGGCGGCGCGTATGCCCAAATTTCTGGGACACACCCCTTTTTTGCCTGATTTTGACGTCTGAGGTTGTGATGACTTAAGAGATACTGGGCCGTTTCAAAAGCTCTTGGGCGCACGCGAAGCAAACCTACATAAGATTGATTAATTAGCAGTAACAGCGTGCTAAATGTCGCCATAAATGGTACTCTTCATGTCCCGTTTGCCAAAGTGTCTGGACCACGCCCACTCATTTTGGCATTTTTATTTTTAATACCATTCTTGGAAGTGGAATAGCTGGTGAAATGAAATTTGGACACTTCGTAAAAGATAGTTCGGATCAAAAAACGCTTTGACTCCTTAATTATTCAGCGCTTTAAGTATAATGTATTTGAGCTAATTACGCGATAAAAAAAAAAACAAAAAAAAACAACCTGCATTTAGGTTTTGTGTTTATCAATTAAGAAAATATTCAGTGTAGTTTTCGTTTTGTTATACATTACATATGTTGCTAAAAAATGTATTTAGGAACGCAACAACGTCACTGATTCCTCGAGTCTCCTCACCAACTGCGGATTCTTTTTGGTATTTAAAGCCCTGGGGAACCACTTTAAATTTAATTAATTTGAAAATAAAAACAGTTTCCATGGAGCTAGAGACATTGGCTATATATTTAGCAAAATGCAACTAAATTGATCGTGTGGTTTTTTTAGGGTTTGCATCGAATGTTGAAAAGACGTATGATTTTTCTGCGGTTCGCCATAGGAACCAATGAGTAAAAGTTTGGTTGCATTTTGGCCAGACTTAATATAAACGCAGGACCACGAAAATTCTCGTGAAGGTTGAGGGCAACGTATTCAAACGTGACACAAAAGTGCAAAGGGATTGAGTGATTAGTTTTCTTTGTATAAAAAAAGATCGCTTTGGTCCATTGAGTTACGGGCGCCCGCGCAGCGGCGGCCGATAGATGGCGTAAGTGGTAACGGCGCTCGCCTGTCCGAGAATCTTGGGGTTTCCTTCACGAATTTTTTTTTTCTTTATAAAATAAAACTTACGCCACGCTTTTGGTTTCTGTGTTGTTAATATTTAACTGTTGAAACACTCCTATTGATGCCACGCACTCGATCGAGCGAAGTGAGTTCGTCAAGCTCACTCCATGTGAAGCGTGTTCCTCAGGAAGGAGCCGTGTGGCACACTACAGAAATGACACTAAGGTAAAAGTGCACTCGCTTGTAGTGACACTAAACTAGCCCGTTTCCGGCTTGACAGGGGTATTAATTTATGTCCCTATGTATATTTTGCTTGGTGTACTGTGTCGTAGCTATTAAATATTGTCAGCATAACTTCTATCGTTCTCACTAGTCTTCTGCCCTGTGTGAACGTGCCAAAGTTCCTATGCGCTCTGGTTTATGCTGGTATGGTTTCTGGGCTCCAATTATTGTTTGATGTCATAAGCAGCTAAATCATGAAATTTCATAAAAAAGTGAATGCATTCATCCACCTTAGAATCTTTTAGAGCGCAGCTCTTAGGCGCCCGTTTCCGGCTTGAGCGGCGTCGGCGTAATCGTAAGGTCACATGACCCCCCCCCAGGTCACGTGAATCCCCCCCCAGCAGTAGGAGGGAGGTGGAGGAGGAGGGAGAGGAGAGATGAGGAAGAGGAGGAGGAGGAGGAGGCGAGGGGAGCAGGTGAAGGATGAGGAGGAGGTGAATGAGAAGGAGGGGTGGAGGAGGAGGATGAGGGAAGGAGGAGTAGCAGGCAGGATCACGAGGGAGGAGGAGGGAGGAGGGGTATACCCTCCCCTCAGTACCCTTCCCTCCTCCTCTTAAAGGGGCACTGACACCCCAAAGGTCGTATTTATTTTTATTGTCTAAAACGATGCAAGTTGCAGTCATAGACACGCAAAAAAAACCGCATCGCGAAAAAAAATTTTCCCGCGCGCGCGCGCGCGCCTTTTTATTTTTGGCGTTTGATTTTCCCGCCTCTCGCCTCCTCGCTTCTTTTGATCGGTGACGTCAAAAATCAGGAAATTTAGAAGCTTTGTAGGCGACATCTCTATAACATTTAATTACGGCAATCGTAAAACATGTTTTTTAACGCAATTGCGAACGCACTACGGCCCTTCTTTTTGAAATACCAAAAATCGGGAGTTCGTTGTGGTGCCGTCTCCTGGATTTGTATCCTCCAACGGAAAACAGGCGACACCGCTCAAAACCGGTCCGCCGTAACGCCGCCGCTCACTCCTTTCCTCCTCGCTTTGGGTCGCCATGGCAACAGCAGGGAGTGGTGAAAGAAAGTCGACTCTCAGGTCTCCGCGATTTTTGACGTCAAGGCACCGGCGCCTATCGCGCGGGAACTTCGAATTCGGCATTTGGAAATTGTTTTTTTACTTCACAAATACTGAACTCCCAAATTTCAAATTTTGAGGGTAATGTCCCGGCATCGTTTTCAATCGTTTCGGATAATAAAAAAAAATATGATTTTGATGTGTCAGTGCCCCTTTAAAGAGCTGCGCTCCAATTCGGCGATACAGGGAGTTATAAACGACTTTAATTTTTTTGTTTCATGTTTACTCTAACTTTAAATATTGTATATTTAAATGCTTAGATATCTAGGAATATTTATATAGATTTTCCTCATTTACATCTGCCCATTTATATTTCCGGTTCTCGAGACAGAGACAGAGCCTCGATCCGGCCCCTTAGCCAAAATGTTTGGAGACCCCTGCTCTATAGGAATATAGTACATCATACGCAGTCGTATGTATCTTCCTTCAACTTAAAACCCACAAAATCAGTCGACAGGTTAGAGTGTTTATGAAATACAAATGCTTCATGTTTTATTTGTAGTGTCAAGCACGGAATGAGTAACATAAGCAGCATAACGTCCGTAATGGTTAAAAATGGTCGTGTTAAACAGTTTTATTGAGCCGAACCGTCTACGACACCTGTTTGGCACTGGGCAAAACAAGCACAACACTGTCCACCGAACACCGGCACAGTTTCGTCGTGCTCCGCGTCAGTTCCACGTGGCTCTGGCAGTACCCAGCCTCGTTCTTGTCCAGCACGGATCGGAGGTCATAAACTTCCGAAGAGCACGCCGAACACCAATCCTTCTGCAGTTCGCGCTGCTGACACTGTGGTGTCCTGGTCACCCACGAGTTCACCGTCTGCTTCGACGGCTGCTTGGACAACTTGTAGTTCTCCTTGCAGCGAACGTTACCGAGGACCCAGCACCAGCTGGTCGTCTGGCCACAACACCTCTTCTCGAAGGTCGCTGTGTAACTGCCGTACACGAGTGGATTCACGCACGAGTTGGACACGGCGAACATGAACAGGGAAGACTGGAGGTAGCCATCGACGTGTTCTGCGCCCTCCGGGTCGAACTGGTACCAAAGCACCATGATGACGTAGGGTGTCCAGCACAGGAAGAACGCGAGGACGATGACGATGGTGAGCCGGAGGGTTCGGTTCCGGGCACGTTCGATGTGCCGGACGTCCGAGCGACGGAGGCGCAGACGTCCGTGGTTTGATTCTGCACCGGTCGACTGGTCATCTGTGAGGAGCCAGATACAGTGGAGCGTTCTAAACAAATGGTTTCTGCCTTTGTTAGAATGGGTTTAAACTAACATGGGTAACTTTGATTTGGATGTCACCGAGATAGCCTTTAGGCTAAAACTGTGATCCAACTAATAGAATAGTGCCACTAAATAAGCTATTCTTCAGAGTAACGAGCCTTGCCCATTCTGTTGCTTAAAGTCATGGGTGCCAGTTATCTGAAGCCTTATCTGAAATCACAAGAAACGTATTTTCCGTCCTACAGAAATGCTTAAACAGTTATCGACAGAGCAAAGCTATATTGCAAGAGCTTCTCAACACAAAAACTGAGGCCGAGAAAGTCACACTTCTGAATAATTACAATCGGCAGTCGAGTCTGCTCTACAGAAGCACCAAGATGGCAGCGCGCACTACAACATCAGGAACAGAGTGCCCATAATCTATGCGTAGCTCATTTAGTGGATCTATGCTAGTGCATGATACAAAAGACAGACTAAAGACACTAGCTGCGTTAGATTTACTTACACCTACTGCACCAGTGCAGAAAAGCGTAGGGCAGTCTACTTCCGGTATGTGCATTTAGACATGACCGAAGTACACCGCCCTACACTTTTCTGCACCGGTGCAGGACGGGAAAGTAAATCGAACGCCGCTGCTGTCTCAGGCGTGTTTTTCCCTGCATGGGCACCACATTCGTCGCACAAAAACTGTCTGCAGACATATGCGAATCATGTTTGAAGCAGACATGCCTCGAACATGCTTGGGGTGTGTCCGTAGGTAATTATGCCTGCAATAAACATTGTGTTTTTTTTTGTGTTTCTTTTTTTTTTTTTGTATGATGTACGAATAGCGTGACTGCGTCTTCAGGGGGGCCATAAACAATTATTCTACTTTCGCTAAATACTACTTGGAATCACTTGCCATTGTTTCTTTTCTAGGCAATGGCAGTCGGCGAAAAAATTCGAGAAATATGAGCATCGTTCATCCCCTCAACTCCGAGCCAAAACAAGCGGCCACGTGGCCTTGTGCCTATACCACGCCGCCAACGGTAATCATAGCCACACGCTGGGGTTGGCAAAATAAAAGAACGCGTGCAAAGCTTCAGGCATTGTTAGAGTTCGGCTATTCTCATCACCGCAGTGGTTACACGAGTCACTACCCGAGTGTCTGCCGAGGCATTGATTGTTACGAGCCGAAGTCGAGTGCTCACGCGTTCTCGTGTCCAACCCATTAGCTGCGCTCGCTTTTCGTCAGGCGGGCGGTTTTGATCCCACAATAGACCGATCTCACCAGCCAGTTTCGCTACGCCGCCGCTGCCGGCATGCATCGTGGGAGCTGTAGTCTTTCTGCACGCGCGACAACCCTTTTAACCTCTCATTCACACTGGAAGCGGATCCACGATCGCGATACAGTACAATTGCACGCGCACTTGATGTCATCGAGTGCGCGTGCAATTGTACTGGATTTTTATACAACCGCGTTCGCAACCGCTTTGTGAACGCGGATCCGCTTCCAATGTGAATGAGCGGTGAGGGTCGGCATAGAGCAGATCACGAGACGGCATGAGCTGCCTCGTGCACTGTCGCCTGCCTCCTGTGAACTTCAACTATGGCGGCGTTACGCATGCGTGCAACGCTCGGTGGGATCGGTTTATTACGTGATCGAGCTTTACGAAAGCAAGAGTGAAAGAAATAGACCCCCTTTATCCTCGGAATTTTATCGCGACAGAAAAGCTTCTGAATCAGTGGCGGTGTCTGATCGAGTATATACTTGGGCCAGACTATACTAGTGCGCCTCTGCAAATTCATGAACATTCAAACTCAATATCGTTTCATGACCCTTTTAAGCGGGGGTCACACCGCTTAAAAGGGTCGTCTGCCAACAACGACAGTCTGCCAACACGAGTCACCGCTATACCCGTTGTTCAAATGCCGCGTGCAAAGTTTCTCCTTGAACTCATGGCCATGAGGCATTGGAAGTACGGATCTCGCGGTGATTTGCGTTTGAATCGGTATGCAAACTCTATTTTGCATGATGCATGAGCTGAATGACGCCGGTTTGAAGGATTCGTTGTCGCAGACTTTCTAATGTCGGAAATTATTGTTCTCTCACACACGCAGACGCAACCTTTCTCTTGCTTTCTCTATCTCTTAAATGCCCTTTCAAGGCTCTGTTTATCGATCTTGCAGAAAATTCACTGGGAACCTCGTGGTAGCCGACGAATTACTAAGGTAATTAGCGTCTTCAAGGCCTGAAGAAACTAATGCCACGTGTGCTCACCAGTGTCACTGAGCCGACAATACTTGGAATCACCCATGTGTCATTCAGCCCAGCCTGATTGCTCAGTGTTACACAGTACATAGGCCTAACGACCTCAGTTGAGCTGCGCCCCACGTTACCCTTGAAAAAGAAACGTGTATGTCAAAAGCTACAAGAAAAAAATCAGAATTAAAAAATTTGAGCTCGTGTTACATTACTATTTTTATAGTAATGTAACAGCCCTTTATACGCTGGCCTCTACGACGCGCTGATACAGAAGATGCGATTGTTATAAAGTCAGCTCCAACCCTTATACTAGCCCCCTCCTATTATGTTTGATGCTAAGATTGTGTGTGGATACATTCCCGTGCGTTCCGAAACACTAAGTGCGTCGCTATCGCTGGCCGTCGCCGATGCAGCAGACTTCGCCTTCTTGTCCTCGTTTACCGGAAGTCGCATGGGAAAAATGAGACTGGCGAACTCACTTAAGCTCAAGTATCGCTAGCACACCCGTGTAACTCCGGCCAAAAGCCTTTGAGCCGAACATCATTGGCTCAAACACAATTCAGAGCATTCGTGTAGCAAGTGTATTGAGAGAAAGCTAGCTGCCACTCTGAGGCTTCTAGGAGCTTCCTTTCTACTTCTACCTAGCAGCTTTACTTTTATTGTGCCTTAGTCCTTTCTGAGCAAAGACAGGAACCACAACAGTGAGAAGCACCAAGAGAGAAACTTTAGGACACTGGATATGACCTCAGATTCGCAGCCGGTGTCACCTGTCAGGAGATTATCTATAAACTGGTGAAGTACGTTGTTGGGCAAGTTGGCGCATAATCAGAAAATGTTTTCTTTTTTTTTTGTCTCTTTTGCGTTTATTTATTTGCACATGGCGTGTAGGCTGCAGGTCTTTATCGCTGTATACAATCAATGCCTAGAACAATATTGTCGCCTCGTTCCCTTTATGAAACCATAGGAAGAACCACAGCGCATAGTTCCATATATTTAACTATGGCTCCTTCTATGGAGGCAGAAGTAAAATATCGCATGGGGCCATAGAAATAACTCTGGTTATTTTTGTGGATATCGCTCCTCCTGCTAGGAGGTCACAGACGGAACCATAGCGTAAAAGTCTTGGAAGGTGCACCATAGCTCCTTCAAAGTCTCGGATAACCTGTACGCGTACCGTGTGAGTCTCTAGACTGGCGGTGAATCTCCCAGAGAATGCGGCCATAGCAGGTCACAATGGCGGCCAGCGGGACCCCGTAGAGGGCGAGGAGGCAGAACAGGTTGTAAGCCTTCTCGTGCCCCGGGGTGGGAAAAAATGCGAAGGTGACGCACTGGTAGAAGCCGGGCATCGCCGGGTGCTCCATCACACGAAAGATGATCGCCTGCAGAAGAAAACACCGATTGTAGTTGCACACCCATGGACAGCACGAGCGCAGACGACCTGACAAGCTCGTCACTAAACAAGCTCTGAACCAGGTTGGGTGCACATTACGGGAAATATAAGTCTTTAATCTGTTGCAGACACCGACAGCTTAGGAATCGGCGAGCGCGGCCATCTATATTCTCGCTTCTTGTGTCGTGATAGGTTCGTCTCCGTTCCCATCGGTTAACGCTACAATTTCATTGGCTGCAAAGCGATTATAAGACAAAATTGGTACTCGCCACATTTTGCCTTTCTCAAGTTGTCAGTGAATAATTTACATACGGAGCAAAAATTCGTCTGCTTCTTTTGCCAAGGTTGTGGTGACGTCAGAACCCCGGGCTCTGATCGGCTCTGATTGAATAATAGCGGTTAGACCTCAAAGCAAGCTGCCTTGAGGTCTACCCAGTATCTTTTAATCAGAGCCAATCAAAGCTCGGCGTTCTGATGTTACCACTACCCTTGTAAACGAAACAGCCGAACGTGCCGCTTTGCATAAGAAAAATGACCGCATCTCCACGTGGTGCATGATGTTGATTGGGGCAAAAGTCTGGTGGTGCTGATCTTACTGATTTTATTGTTCATAGGTAGTGATGATGGTGCTGATTTTTTTTTAGTGCTCGTAGGTAGTGCTGAGTTCCGGGTTGCGTTTCGACTTCATTATTACTGCTTTATGATCGGTGAAATGCAGAGTCAGTGGTTCTTCTAGCGGATCAGCTTGGATCCGCCAGAAGCCGTGGGAACGCATCTCCACCGCTTAAGTCAATGGTCTATGTCAGAAACAAAATGTGTGGTATGGAACGTGGTTATATAAGCATTCAAGCATTTGGCCGCAGCGTTCTCTCGTCTATAAAGGTTGAGCCAATGCATGCAAAGTTTAACGCGATTATATACGCATTTGACCGCAGCGCCCTCTCCTGTATAGACGTTGAACGGCTACATGCAACGTTTCGTCCATGACATCCCCAGCTCTTGAGTTACTACCACATCTCAGAGCCCCCTACTCGTCTCGCAGTCGTGGCCGAGTGGCTAAGGCGATGGACTAGAAATTTATTGGGGTCTCTCAGCACAGGTTCGAATCCTGTCGACTGCGCAAACATTTTTGTCTTTTTATGTGAGCTTGGACGGCCGGACGAACGGACGGACGGACAAGACTAGACCCTAAGGAGCTTCGCCCCTAAAACGTGCTGGCAACTGATTGCAGAAACACCGTCATTTCTTTACATAGTCACCCTGTGGTTCCATATATATTTGGCAAGGCTGATGCCACGACTCATTTCGCCGCTTCAAAAAACTTCTTCGGGTGTCTGTAGAGTTCACTGGAATATTGCTGTTGCTACAGCGAAGCCTATTGAAAACCCTCGACCTCGGAAAATGTCCGCCGTGGTGAGCTACAACCAAAAATAGCTGTACGAAACGCCGGCGTATACTAAGTATCACCTTAGCATGGACTATTGTTAGCCTCGCTAAAAGCTCGAGCTAGTTGCTTTGGATGAGCCCTCGGCGGCTGCACGAACGCTCGTCCAACGAGCGCTCCAGTCAAGGCAGTCAAGGCTAGCAGCTCGAGCTTGCACAGCCTTCGGAGTTAGTCCATGCTAAGGTGAGACGAAGCCAGACTTGGGAAGTAATCCGTTACAAGTAACGCATTACTTCTAATCCATTACTTTTTCAAGTAATTTTGTAAATGTCATGTTACTTTTCTGGAGCAGTAATTGTAAGTTAATTTCTTTATTTCTTTCGTTACTTTTTTTAAAGATATGAACATAATACAGAATGTGGAGCAGTCAAATCAACAACATAGAACCTAGCAAGTTAAAAAAAAAAAAAAAAAAAAACACCGTGAAGAGGAGCACAACCGAAAATAAAACACGATTTTTTGCATGACCGGTCACTAGAACCACTTGAAAAATGTGCAATGTCTATACAAATATGCGAAAAACAAAGATCAAGAAGACAACGCCGAAAGGCTCTGCCACTTTCCATTGCCGTTCATTGTGTTTTTCTTCTCTTGAGTATGAAAAAGGGAAAGTAGTATTGATGAAATTGTTTTTGAAAATATTAAGATTGCTTTCATTGTTTTCTTGATGAGTGCACGGGAAAAGTAACACGAAAGTAATTTGTAACGTAACGAGTAAAGTAATCCGTTACTTTTCGGCGAAAGTAATCTTTAACGGTAATCCATTACATTTGAGGCTCGGTAAATTGCAATTGTAATTCATTACATATTTCAAGTAACGGGCAAAAATCTGGACGAAGCGTAGGAGGGATTGTGAGGAACAAATCCAAAGTCTTTTTGTTTGTTTTTTCGTGAATACATTTTTTAGGAAGTGCTGCCGGCTGACACAAAGCGCTGCTCTGACGGAAGATCACGACGGCGGTCTTCTCTGGCCGTTCCGAAAAATCTGTCGCATGTATGTTCCACAGGTGACTTCTCTCTTAACTGTAGATGAGAAATCTAGCCAGTGCAGTACAACCGCTAAACTGGAGTGTTTAACGTGCACCACGCAGTAGTAATTACACAAACCAGTGCCGGTACGAAACGCATCCAGATCGAAACGGGCAGGGGGTGGGAATCGCACCCAAGAGGTTCTGCAGCGCAAGCTTTTGCTTCACGCTTCGAGCTGGGACCTGTTCGCCCACTCGGAGCATAATCAAAAATATGCAAATTATCATTACTGGTGCTAATTGCTGCATTTTATTTAACAAGTTATGAAATAAAAATAGTCTAAAATTAATGAAAACATTCTAGCTAATCTGAGATATCCTTATAAAATAACATTAATTGTGGTTAAAGCATATGTTGCTATCACAGTTGCGACTTTTTTCAATCGTCAAAACTTACAAAGTCGCCACCAATGCTTCCGAACAAATAACCCCCCTCAAAAAAAAAAAAACAAAAAAACTAAAGAACAACAAACAACAAATTTCGTTTTCCTTTTTTATTAGTGTTTTAAAAACATTTACCTTTTTTTTCATTTTTACGCGCCGTCGTTTTGCCAATGCGTCTTTCCAGTTCAAACGAACGCCTACACACTTTCACGTCTGCTCACTGCAGCACGTTTCGTTGGTGTTGGAAACTGGTGAAAGAGTAGTGAGTTTTAGTATTACGTAAACGAGCGAATGTAAGCACTGTGTGTCTGCGTGTTCCACACTGCGCGTGCGCGGAGCCCAAAATTGCGATCTTGGATTGGAGCATGGAGACGACTTGCATGGGCAGCGTGGAGCACGCAACTCTAACGCATACGCACAGACCTTTTGTTTACTACTATACGCAATACTAACACTCTCTAATAAGGTGCGATCCCACACCGGCTGCCACAGTGCAATGGGACAATGAAGGTGTTGTTTGTATTCGGAAATGGCATTTCGCGAGCCAGAACCGCGAGCAGTTCCGCCGTGTGCGCTGAGCAGGAGAACCGGTGGACCTTCACTAGAGCGCCTCCCGTTTCCGCCGCGGGAGGGCGAATAACAAGCTGGACACGCGAACAACGTCCCTACATACGACAGTCAGGATCGTGCTTTTTGGGACGTAGGAGGAGGGGGAAAGGGGGGAAGGTTAGGATGACGCATTCACTGTTCCGTCTGATAGCAACCATCATCATCAGCGCTCTGCGATTGCGCGAAACTTTTTTTTTTACTGCAACTCGCAGTGCTTCGTTGTTGTGACTGGCGTTTGGTTTACGAAACTTTCAACTGCCTCTCCCACGAATGCACGTGTTTCACGTCCATAACTATCTTCAACAAATTTCACTTAGACGAATGCTTAGAAGGGAAGTCAGTATGGTTAAGCTAAACCCGGACGTGGACAGCCTACATATGCTGCGTTTTATTCCGTCCTCCTCACGGTCATCTGTGACCACAGGACGGAGTAGGTCCCGATACGTCGGGCATATTGTTTTTACAGCGTTTTAATGCTATGTTATGGTTTGGCTAGGTTCTGGCGGATCGTCTGGCGACAGCCCGAGCGTAGACCAACAATTTTCAAACGCAACAATGTATGCCCGACTTTATACTCCTCTGCACCGCCTCCGTCTCTTTCCCTGGTTGTGTATACTCCTCGCCAAGCGCAGCTTCTCTCTCCCCGCTGATATTGCGCGATGCCGCGCGCTCTTCGGCGGCCACCTGTGCGGTGCGCTAGAGCCTGCACCGTGATTGGCGTAGCCGGGCTATAATAAAACACCAATGTCTCTACCCACCAATCATGTGTGGCCTTTGTCTGTGGAGTAGAGATCGCGCCACTGTCCTTATCAGTTGAACTTCCGACTTCACATTTGTTGCACCCGTGTTGTACGTTCCGAAGAAGAGCAGCGGGAGTACAAGGAGCGTCGGCGCCCCCAGAAGCGAGAATGGGCACGCCGCAAACATGAAACCGCCGTTGCCGCTACTCCCAGCCCGACGACTTCGAGTGCCGACCAAGAAGTGCCGACGAAGACCTTGCCCGAATCGAGCGCCGACGCGAGCAACAGCGTCAGTTCAACCGGCACCGTCGAGCCAATGCCACCGACGATGTTCGTTCAAAAGAAGCCAAACGCGAGCGCGACGCAAATCATCGCGGCGCCAAACTATAACGTAGAAAATCCGAAATATAGATAAACCCTAACATGGCAGATCCCGCCAAAGCGCCAGCTTCGCTGGACTTTTCTCATCACGGGGTAAAAGAGCTATTATTATTTTTTGTAATTAAAACATCGGTTAGGGTTAACATTCTGTCTGAAAGATGAATGCTGTATACGGCGTACTCTGGCGCGAGTGCAGGAAACAAAAAATAACACGCTGCGCTTTGAAAGTGAACGTCGACATTTTAAGTGTCTTAAATGGTCATGAGGTCCGCTGGAGACACGAGCCAGTGATAAGATTGAACACGTTGCTCCGACTTTGATTTATTCGCAATAAATTCCCCCACATCTTTTAAATCGCTCTCATGCAGCACATAAAATAAATTTGAGAACTACGAGAACTTTC